CCCTCCGGCGCCTGGGTGGGTCGGGAGAGCCCGAGTCGAAGCCGAGAGCGGGAGTGTGAGCGCCCTTTCGCTGCAGGCGGGGGGGAGATTGGCCGTTAAATCTTTTTTTTTCCCCCCCCTTGTAAAATGAAAGAAGATACTGTGGGTGAAACGAGTGGGAGAGCAGATCCTGGAGGTGTAAGGGAGGCTGTGTGATCTAAAAGTACAGATGTTTTTCCTCTGTGTTTGACACATAGGCTGCAGACTTGTGCACACGTGCTTAGGAAGTGAGAGGCTGGAATTCAGGACAGAATCAGCTTGAAGCTAAGGGTTTCACGTGTGTTGGAGCAGCTGTTGAAAGTCCGGGACCCCTGCGATACATGTGGGCTTGACAAGAATCGGAGTCGCTGCCTTGTGCTTGGAATGGCCTGCAAGCATGTTCTCTGAACGTGGCTGATCTTAGGCAGTCCTTATCTGCCACTGATGCAGCGTGTTGATTTGATCTCCTCCTCCTTTGTGGGCAAAAGGAGAAATAAAACTTGTTTGCTTGTGAGCGTAGGAGTCTGCTGCGTATAAGAAGCTGTGTTATGGACAAAAGCTCAAGTTTTATGAACTGTGCTGAAGTGAGAGTTGTATGGCATTCACTACAGGAGTGGGAGCTGGAGAGTGCAATATGCAGTGTTTTAAACTGCTTTCAAACCTCGTAAAGCTAAACTCTGAAATGACAAGAGAGTGATTTCCACTTCTGATTTTGTGATAAAGAAATTATTCTAATTTCTTCTTAATTTCCCAATTCTGGGGGTAGCTGGATTTTTTTTTTTTTCTCCTTCCCCTGGGTGCTTGACTTCTCCCTAGCCCCGTCTGGTTTTCTCAAGTGTCCTTTTTGGCAGCAATAACAGGCAGTTAAGTCACTTTTACTGTAATAGGGAAGGACAACTTCTCTAGTTCTAGTTTCTTGTAAAAAGCACAAAGTTCAGGTTTCGTTAAGCTTTGTGATATTTCTAGTGTCAAAATCACCTCTATCTTCTTTCTCATGGGAGAAGGAGGGTGACTTCTGAGAGCATGCAGAATCTTTAACAAATACGTAAGCTGGGGATAAGGTGAGAACCGAGATCTTTGTAATCAATTATTTAAGAAGCTTGGGATAGATCTAAATCTGTTTGTAAAAGTTGGAATCATTTGTCCATTATCCACTTCCAGATAAAATCTGCATAGCCACATCAAGTTGTAGCAACAGTGTTGTCCAGATTTTCTTTATTTGGGGTGTCTGAACTGTCAATTGATCTGAATGAAGGGGATTCGGTTCTTCAGTGCTGTGATGAAATGTTGGCTGGTGTGCTGAATAAATGTGACCTGCTTTGGACAGCTATTCACAAGGCAGAAATTAATATTGAGACCGTATCAGGGTGATAGAGACCTCTCTAGCAAGCAGGAAGAGAGTGAACAAAGTATTATTTTCCTTGCATCCTCCAGTTTGACTGTTATTCTAGCAGAACCTCTCTTGAAATTCTGAGTGTCTTCCCAGATATGTGGTATTCAGCTTTTTCTTTGGAAGTCATCTGAGGGATTCTTCGATAGAGGTGTGCATGCCTGGAAAGAGGAAAATTCAGTGTTGTCTCAACTGCTGTGTGGATTGCAGGATATTTGGGTCTCTGGTACCAGTGCAGGATTTGGATGTTGTCCAACAGCACCCAAGAATCAGAGTAGGAAGTAGATTCTGAAGACGTGAAAGTGACTGAGTGACTTCAAAATACAAAAAAGAAATTAAGTGGAGGTATCAGTGTATTCATAGGTTTTGCATTTTTTTTTTTTTTTAATGAAAATAAGCTTGCTTATAACTAAAAAAAAATTAAAAAGCAACTGTGCTAGACACACACAAAGGGGTGTTTGGTTTGAGGTTTTATCCATACTGGTGGCCAAAAGCAGATGTCTAGGGAAGAGTTACACACTTGCCCGCTTCTTATGTGATACTTCCCGGAATGCTCTTTCTGCAGTTTGTGGCTGAGCAGCAGTTTGAGCAAGACCCAGATTCTACATGTTAGTAGAAGCTCATCTTGTGGTAAGGAATTAATAAATAACTGGAGTGTTAACTGATATTAAAAGTAACTTGCTTCCTCTCGTATTTTCCACCTTCTTCACTGGAATATCCTGTGTTCTGCTTAATGCTTCTCTTCTTCAAACTGCATTGAATGAGACAAACTATTCCACTCCCTTGCCTTTCCACTGCACTCCTTTGATCTGAAGATGTGTTGCCTCTTTTCCTTGAGAAAGATGTCAGCTGTCATTGTTGATTTCACTAGATTCTGAACATCTTTATTATATGCCCCTCACTAGTTGAAAAAGTTTGTTATGCCTGTGCTGTCTGTTCTTGTGAACTGGCTTGATAATCCTGTGTTTGATGATGTTGTCACATAGTTGACAAAATACCTTTTTAGGCAGCATAACCAAATGAGTTGGTGGTTCTGCGTGAATGTGAGAGGTAGATTTCCCCCCCGACCCCCTTTGGGGAATGCTATTGACTTTTTTTTTTTAATGATTGGATGGTTTCAGTCTATGTGATAATGTGGCAGATTTTAGGTGTTCTTTGTGTGGGGTAGAATGGGACTTTCGTCTCAGCCTACGTGATTTCTGTGAATCATTATGTGGTTTGTGGGGGATGCCTGTACTGGTCCATTGTGTTTGAAGAAAGTTGGCAGTGATTCTTTCATGGCTCTTTATTGGTGTGTCATCCTCCATTTATAGCACTCGCATAGCAAGGTTGGCTTTCCAAGACTTTTCTACCTCTAATATGCCTAGATGGGGAGGAGTCCTTTGACCTTTTGTCTGAAACCCCAGCTTTTTCACAGAGCCAGCAAGAATTCGTAGGAGCCAGCTTGGTAAGGGACTTGCTTCTTCCCTTCTGAAACAAAGTTAAAAAAAAACTAGTGCTTGCGATAGATCATTAGTAATAGCACCTCTTTCAGAAATGACTAGGTAGATGGACCTGATAGAAATAAGCTGAGTCCTAGCTAATTTCTTCATTAGCCACGGTCATAAGCTTGTCCAGTTCCATGCCCATTTAATAAGAAGTTTAACATTTTGATGAAGTTAGCCCCTCATGTTCTGATGCAACAAATGCTTTTAGCTTTACAATTATTCTCTTTCTAGTGTTTAGCCCACGGATATAGAGAATAATAAGAGTAATTGATGAACTGTGACTTAATGCCCACTTCTGTACTGAGGTAGAGGTTTCCAGAGTGGCTTTGGTAAGGTAAGGTATGGAGTTGGGATTGCAGGGTGAAGGGCTCTTGGTGATATCAGCCCCAACTCAGGCTTGGAGAAACCTGGTTTAAGGTGACTTGTTAGAGCATCAGTGATACCCCTTGTTACCTCTGCTTGGTTCTATACTAATGACAAAAAGCTGTTTGGGCAAGGTAGTTTTCTGTAAGTGTGCTTTTGATGCCACTAGTAATAACTGCTGGAAGTCAAATCTTTGTGAAGGCTAGCATATTCTTCGGAAAAGTTCAGGAATACAGAGCTTTAGTCCTGAAGACAAAGGGATCTTACTTGGGTTGGAAAATAGTCAGTGGTCAGAGTTCAGGAAGAGAGCTGATCAAGTTCATTTGTCAACTAGAAGGCTGTTAATCATAAAAATGCAAGCTGCTTCAACCTGTGTGAGATAAGCATCTGAGGAGGCAGAACTAATATAACTAGCTACTGGGTGCTCATGGAGGGAGAGGCAGGAAACAGCAAGAAGTAGTTGGTGACTTATTACACACTTCCACTCTATGCAGAGACACCTGAATCAACCACTCCACCTGTGGTGCAGGGTACAAGTTAGCTTAAATTGCCCTGGAAAGCCTTGCTTGAGGTATCATTCTTAAACTACTCTGACTCATTTTTGTTACAGTTGTCTGATATATCCTTGCCATAGAAGAGACGTCTGACCTTACTGAAACAGTTGTTTGTAAAGCTAAGTCACTGATTAATTCTGCCTTGTGCAACTTAAAGCAGGGGTAAGAATAATTTTGAGGTAGATTCGTGTGGATAGAATGAAGACTGGAGATTGTGTAGTCGATTGGGAAACACCCTGGCAGCCTTACAGGCTCAGAGCCTACAAAATGCAGACTTTTTCATGTGAAAAGATGAGTTGATAAATTACTGGCTTTGACTTTGGAATTCTTTCTTTTATGTTTTTGTACCATTTGTAGTACATGAATTCTGTTAGTGTCACAAGCGTATTACTTCATAGGAAGTTTCAGCTTGCTTTCTTTGACTGGTAACTTGTTCTCTTGAATGGTCTTACAATACTTTGTGCAATTTTTTTCTCTCTCCTTCCCATTTAAAATCCTTTGAAGGAATTTACAAGAGGACATAAATGCAAAATCTCAGACCTTCAGTAATACTGAACCAGGTGCCCTTTCTCCCAGCTTGAAGGCTCTGCAGTTTACTTAGCTGAATCACTCTGTTTAATTGTGTTCTGCCCAGTGACGTGGGAGAAGTACTGGTGGCTTTTGGAAGACCTGTCTTGGGGAAAGGACTGGTCCCAGAATGTGCAGTACTACAGCAAAGAGGCGTATAGTGACTTGGCTTGAACGACTTCTACGCTTTGCTCAAAACGTCGTGTGTCTCCAAGATGTGTGCATCTCTACTTCAAGGACTTGTGTTCTCATATGAGCTATGCTTAGTGCTCTAGCAAGTGGGATTGTATTTAGTAAGAGCATTTTTCCTGCTTTGCCTAAGCTCACAGTAAAACCGGCAGGTGTACTTAACCTGTCATTATACACTTTTGTAAAATTTAACTCCTTTTGGAGTCAGTGTGTTCTGAAGAGCAAGCAGGTGAAAAGAGGGAAAACACCGAGTGAAGGAAGTCTTCTTCCATGTGAGAAGTTAAACTTATGTGCTGCACGTAACAGCAACTTTGCAGAGGTTGAAATTGGCGCTTGGAGGAGTTCATGCTATGTTGTGATCAAGTGACATGAATTGGGCAGTGGGTGAAATGGGACAATTGATGAAACTGCCTGCTTGATGTGTTCTACTCGCTGGGGAAAGCATTATTTGAATTCTAGTGGGAAATCCATATATTTATTTGGTTGTTTTTTTACCAAACTTTCTGAAAATGAGTCTTGAAATTGGACAGTGAATTATGTAGCTTCTGGGAGTGTTACTAATTAAGTATCTGTGAACTGTTGCCATGAGAAAACTTACCACTAACTGAACGCAGGTTTAACATGGAAGCCCTAACCTGAGCATGTAACAGCGGGTATCAACTGGGGCTCCTGTTGCTTTCCTTGCATTGCTTCCCTTGTCAGCCATTCAGCCTGCTCACCCTGCTGCCTGTTAGATTTAATGCCACAAGAAGACATGGGACAGGACATGCCTGCGGGCTGGGAGCAGGGTGCGAAGGGGGAGTAGGACAGGTCTTGGTGGTAGTATTAGTAAGCGTTTGTTGGGGTGTCTGTGTGCTGCCTTGTCTGACGGCGTTTAGAAGTTTTATTTAGCTTAGTTTTCAAGCTGCCAGTTTACTAGGTAAGACCTTTTTTTTTTTCCCTTCCCACTTCCAGCCTAAAGTGACAGGTATAGCTTGGAAAAAGGCAAGAATACAGCAATGGCAAAGAACTGGTTAAGTGGTGTTTTCTCTGAATTGTCTGTGTGTCTTTTGATTTATGTAAAGCTGTCGTAGCTATGTCCATCTCCTGGCTTTCGCCAAGCCTTGCTCTTCAGTTGTTTCTGGGAGATGACTGGGGAAATGAAGAGCCTGCCAGTCACTCTGAATTGTCACCTTTTCTTTGGTCTGACTGATGAGTGTTTCACCCTTAAATTTCAGATGTTCTCTTGCTACTGCCTTTTTATGATGGGATTACTGCTTCCTTTCTCTCCTGGACAGTGTGTTTTCTGAGGTACTGTGACTTGCCTTAAACTTCTAAATTGTGTAAAGAAGCTAAAATGAGGGTGAAGCTTGTGCATTTTATCTGTGTGAAATAGCACAAGCTAATAAGGGACCCTGCCTATGAGTGTGCTTTGGAAGCTGGCAGGTGAATCTCGTCAAAACAAGCTTATGTGCTGGGCCTTTAAAAGTGACTCTCATCCATAGTTACCCTGGTTTTGGATGTTTTCTGTAGGAACCTTTTGTTCGATGATCTTTTGGAATCTTTCTTTACAGGTCCTTTCTTGGGATCTCTTCCTTAGTTTTTGTAAATTAAAGTTGCACTGGAAATGTGCAAGAGTAGGATATTTAAAGTAATCTTAAATTATGTCTCATCAGTTTCTTCAGTTTAAACTGAGTGATATATGCTTAATCTGTCACAAATGGTTTGACATGTGTCTTGTTTTTTACAAAAGGTGACCCTGACACTGCAGGAGTTTCAATGATTACAACTGCTTTGTCAGATTGGGTTGTGCGATCATTTTAAAGACTTTCTGGCACTTTGTCAGTTCAAGTTTTTACAGGTTTGCCTGTGATAGCAGTGGTGGTGGGGGAAGCTATTTACATAATTGGTTGCTTTTTCTCTGAAAGATGGGTGGTCTGGTGGGATAAAACCACAGTAACCTTTACTGTGCTTTTTGAGAACTGGTTCACCAAAAACCGTACAGTAGTCATTGCTGGAATTTTCAAAGATACCTTTATAAATGATCTGATGCCCAGCAATACCTGGAAGAAGTATGTGCATACTCCTGAAAATCACAACACTCAACAATTTGAAGAAAAAAAAAAAAATTCTGTGTTTTCAGGCACTGTCAAGTTGTTTTTCCTCAAGAGACAAGAAGTACATGTAAAGCAAATGCTTGTGCAGTGTCTGCACTGGTTTGAGTAGCTCAGTCTGTAAAAAGTAAAGGCTAATAAAATCTGTTGATCTACTGTTTAGTTGAAAGCAACCCTTTCTAATTCTTGTCTTTGTCAGTCTTCCTTTGCCAGTCAAATGAACAATATAAACGTGGGAACCTTGAGGGCTTGCTTCTTGGTATTTGTGCCCCAGGCCTGTTAGCTTTGCTGTGGGACCAGATACGCTTTGTTTTCTGTTGTACCCATTTAAGCTGTCATTTCCTGTTAGAAAAATTACAAGTGATTTTCCTTGGCTGTTTTATAACAGAAATAAACAAACAAAAATTTTCATGTCAGAAGCTGCTGTGATTTACAGTAGCAGTGGCCTTGCTGACATTTTGGTGAAGAAAAATGTGTCTTCTGGTAGCAGTTTTGTTGTGATAAATAAGTACCACATTTAATAATACCAGTTTTGATTTGCACACTTCCATTTCTGTAGTGTAATTTCTAACGTGAAGTGATCAGTGTATAACGTACCAGGAAAGCTTTGACTTTCGTCTGCAGTGGTGGACTAAAATTGGATTGCTGAGTGAGTGCCAGTCTGGTTGTGGGCCCCTCCCTGCAGCTGGTATGGCTCAGCAGCTTGTGGAGCAGCTGATGAACTGCTGTTTAGCCCCATGTATTAAAGAAAACCTGCTTTGGTGTCTGCTCAGTGTGCTAACTTGTAATTTGTAGTGGTCCAGCATCTGTGCAACCAGCAGCTGGGGGCTCCGTACAGTGGGGGTAGGGGAATCCTTACAGCTATCCAAAAGTAAGCGGGCTGTGCTAGTTAACTGGAGCCCTTGAGCTACGTTACCCTACAGTATTAACCGAGGTGTGAACTGCTACAGTCCGTCCAGATGTGGGCATCTGTGTGCATGTCCATGATGGCTTCCCCAGACTGTTTTTCCACCTGCTTGCTGGTGTCTTGTAGAGCAATACTTCTTTAGGCAGCAATAAAGATACCATTAAACTGTTACCAAAACTCTCGAGCCATAATAAGCCTCAGTAAAGGCTTTTGATTTGGCCTTGCCTGCCTTAACTGTAGCATTAATCAACTTCTAGAAAAATTCTGTCCTTCAGGAAAGGGTGTTGAAGGACTCTCTGCTTCACTGGGGAGACAGTGTAAATTCCTGCAGAATGGCCAGCCTGCGGCTTGACTGAAAGCTGAATGTCAAGTTAAAACGTTAGCCTGAACTGGATAAGCTGGTGTGCATGCAAAGCCTCTAGATCTGGCTTGCAGATCTCACTGTATGGACTGTGGGGGAAAAGTGTGTTAATCCTACACAGTAAATCTGCATAACTGTAATGAGTGCACTATGGCAAAAAAAGGGGGCTTAGCTGGGGGAAAACGTTCCAATTTGAGAAGTATTCATGCGTGAGTTGTCTGCCACAGAGGGTGCTGACTTTTGAGAATAATTTCCGTCACTGTTTTAGGAGCATTTTGCTGCGGCTGGGTTGCGTGGTCACGTGGGGCAGAACTGACAGCTTCTTTGTTGCTTCTGTTGGGCTTTGTGTTTGCCTTATAGAAAGGAAATAATGTCTTTAGTTACATTTTTGATCTGCGATCTGTGGAGTTAACACAATCTATAAGCTGCCAGTTAAGCACCACCGTGATGGAATTTCACTTGCTACAGTGTTTGATTCAGCTGTTCCATAAACATAGTTCATATATGTGGGATTCTTCATACTTAAGCTGGTTGGTATCCATGATTACCAGAAGACACAAGAACTCTTAAAGGGGCAGTGTTTTAAAAAACTCCAGTGATACTGCTTTTAGCCCTGAGGATTGTAAGAAAAGCAATCCAACCTTTAAGATGCAACCTAGTACAAAAGTGAACACTTGTGCTTTAGTTCAAACTGTCCCTCTTGAGCCTGATACCTGTCCTCTAAGGTGGTGATCTCCAAAGCGGGGTGTGCAAGATACTTCATTGGGGTGCAGGAAGAAAATACATTTTGTACCATTAATAAATATAATAGAATTTTTAAAACAGTGTTTATTTCATCTTTATCTCAGCCTTTTTGAATTTCTGTTTTTGGTGTATGTTTATAATTACATAATAGTATAGTAGTGCATGTATATAATATTTACAAATATATCTATATTGAGGGTGCCTGCTCAAAAAATTTTTTACTGATCGGGATGCACAATCAAAAAAGTTTGGAGGCTGCTGCTCTAAAGCATTCTGGGGCCACAGGAAGCACATCTGGGCACTAGAACCTTTCCAGGTTCATCGCGGGCAACAAGCTAAAGGTGTCAGGGCCTGGCATGCTGATCACAGAATCACAGAATAGTAGGGGTTGGAAGGGACTTCTGTGGGTCATCTAGTCCAACCCTCCTGCTGAAGCAGGGT